AAAGAGCTGAACATGTGACTAAGTTCTGTTCTGCTGTCACGTGGCAGCTGTCAAACGCAGCAAACAGGCTGCTAAGGCAACTGGTTTAGCACTAATGAGATAACTTTACACCATCTCAAACGGCTGCCTGTTTCTCGAGGAGGGTTATATGACACTGGAACCCACCCTAACCTCATTCTGATGTGGTATTAGAAACACTCAAAGGCTACTTTAAAAAAACTTATTAAAAAGATTATCAGTTTAGTAGCTCTCATCCTAGTTCCACTGAGTCCCAGTAACCATCCTGCAGTTACAGGAACTTGCAGAAGCCTCTCAGCGCTTGAAATCATCACACAGGTAGAAGACGTAGGAAGGAAGAAGCTGGAACAGTGGGAAACTGTGCCTCAGGGAGCAGACAGAGGTTGGGAGGTTGCTGGTGGGATGGGACTTAGTGGAACAAGAAGTGTAAGGCCAAGCCCTCCACAAGAGTTTAACCTTCCTAAATCTCCTGCAATGGTTTGTGTCATTGGAAAGGTAACTCAGGGGTTTCAAGGAAATGGAAGTGTCTAAGCTTGCAAAGCCCTGGGCTAGCCACAGCCTAAAGCTAAAGTGTTTTTTTCCCAAAATCCTCACTCCACCTGATAACCAGTTATCTGCAGGAAATTATCTGGTGTTGCCAGTTTCCTGCACTGTTCTCAAAAATTTCTGTGGTTTCCATGTATTCCGGCAGGGTTTCTGTAGGGAGGACTGTCCTTCTCGTGGTGCACTTAGCGTGTCCTTCAACAGAGATTTGAAATCACTTCTTTGCCAAAACTCATCTCAGCACTTGCTATTCTCATCCCTGTTTCAAATATTTTTTCAAAAAGAGTAACAAATTTGGAATCTAACACTTACTACTTCTACATTAAGCGATGTACTAGTTTTTAGACCAGGCTGATAACGACTAGCTATTTGCTGCTAGAGTTTGGTGGAACAAGCTTTCATATTCCATTAAAACTTGAAGAGTTGGTGGAATATTTCACTCAAGTTATGGGTAGAAAGCGAGCTAAAAGTACAGAGGAACAGGGATAAATCTCACCCGTTGCCTTTAAGTGTCTCTGTGCATCAAGGGACGACGAAAGCAACACCCCAAACCCCACTGCTCCACGGGAAAGGCTGCAGAGTGCTCTGGCTCTCCCTGTGCTGATGCAGTGGCAGCAGCACTGTAGCTGCTCGGTTTAGACTTGGCTAAAACCACTAAGCCCTCCCGGCCTTGCATTGCTCGGGATTGATGCAAGAGGAACCGGCGTTACGT